GATCAGCCAGCAGCTAACATCGCTACTAACAGGCGCTCAAGGTCGAGCAGACAGCGGCATTCAGCTCAAAGCGCAGCCGAACTCAGGACTCTGATAGTGGGTGACTCTATTATCAGAAACATTAGTAGCAGGACTACAATTACATGCTGCTTTCCTCAAGCAACCGTCTCTGATGTGAACAAGGAACTTCGGAAAATTCTAATGAAGCACAAGACTGCTAATCGAATCATCATCCATCTGGGGAAGAATGATATACGGAAAGAGCAGTCAGAACTCCTTAAAAAGGATTTCGTTGAACTCTTTGAAACGCTTCAATCACTTGAAGTTCAGTCGTTCATCAGTGGACCACTCCCAGCAAGGGGAACTAACATGTTTTCACGGTTGCTTGGGCTGAACACATGGCTACAACGATCTTGCAATTTAAAAGGAGTGAATTTCATTGACAACTTTAATCTTTTTTTGGGGCCATAGACAACTGTTTAAACCGGATGGCCTCCACCCAAACTTGGTGCAAGAGTGCTTAAGGACAAAATCTACTTCTCCCTCCATCATCCTTCAGTAGTGTGTCAATCCACTCAGCCTGAATAGCACACACACACCTGGTCTGAGTCGTCATGTGGTTGAGACATCCCACAAGGACACTGATAACACCACACAGCCACAACAAGCACTGCTCATGGACAACATCCCGGCTGAGCCCTGCCCACAGAGCTCATCACAGATGGACTGTGATGCATCAGAACAGCTCCAAGACTCAGCACCCAAGGACAACTTTCTGAAAAACGGCCAGGGAAGCCAGGACAACATATCACAGCCCATCTCACCAGACACATTATCCCTGCTTCTCACAGAAAATGGAGAAACTGGTGTATCCTGGGACCAAACTCTCCCACTCTTCCACTGCAAATCCCCAGATATCAACTAAAAAACGGCGGGCCCCCCAACCACCAAAGCCTGAGGGCCCAGCTCGTCCTCCTCCTGCGAGAGCTCTCCGGCCGCTGCCACAATGCCAGGGCCCAAACCCTCCTCCATCTACTCTAGGTGAACCAAAAATAACTGGGTATTGGGTATAATATCTAGGTATTGTGCTGAAAGGTGATCCACGCATTCTGTTTATCATTATTTACAGGCCTCCTAAATACTCTCCAGCCTTTGTTGAAGAGTTCACAGAACTGTTATCAATGATTTCCTCAGGGTTTGACTGTTTTGCTATTGCAGGGGTTTTTAATATTCACATGGATAATGCAGAAAACAAAACTACAAAAGAAATTATAACTATTTTAAACAATAAGTGTCTGCAGGACTGTTAGGAGAGGTGGAGGTGTAGCTGCTCTATTTAAAGATGTATATCAATGCAAGCAAGTGTCATTTGGTCAGTACTTGTACTTTGAATATCTAGGTATTGTGCTGAAAGGTGATCCATGCATTCTGTTTATCATTATTTACAGGCCTCCTAAATACTCTCCAGCCTTTGTTGTAGAGTTCACAGAACTGTTATCAATGATTTCCTCAGGGTTTGACTGTTTTGCTATTGCAGGGGTTTTTAATATTCACATGGATAATGCAGAAAACAAAACTACAAAAGAAATTATAACTATTTTAAACAATCGTGGACACACTCTAAATCTAATCATCAGTAGAGGTCTAAACAATTCATCCATTGTTATTAAGGATGTAACACTATCTGATCACTTCTGTATATTGTTTGATATATTGATCTCTGTTACCACTGAATCTAGATCTGTCTCTGTCAGAAAGAGATGCGTTAACGAACACTAGTGTGCTATTTATGGAGGCTATATCTTTAACACCAAGCATTTCTGCAGACTCTCTTGATCTTCTCCTTGGTTCCTCTAGCTCAAAAGTTAAGAATGTTATTGATGATATTGCTCCTGTAAAAGTCAATAAGAAGACTGGCAGACAAAAATCACCTTGGAGAAAATCAACAGCAGTACAGAGTATGAAAAGACAATGTTGAAAATCTGAGCGGATATGGTGGAAGACGAAACATGAAGTTCACTATAGCTTCTATACAGACGGCCTTCATGCTTTCAATGTGGAACTAGCCACAGCAAGACAGAGATTCTTCTCAAACCTTATAAACAGTAATTTAAACAACACTCGCACTCTTTTTGCTGCTGTTGAGAGACTGACAAACCCCCCAAGTCAGATTCCCAGTGAAATGCTCTCTGACAGCAAATTATATGAGTTTGCTTCCTTCTTTTCGGAGAAGATCATTAATATCAGGAAGGCGATTAGCACATCAAGATTCTGATTCTGGCAAAATATCTGTGCTGGTACTACTAGATCTCAGTGCTGCGTTTGACACTGTAGATCATAACATACTTCTAGAGAGACTGGAAAACTGGGTCGGGCTTTCTGGGATGGTACTCAAATGGTTTAGGTCATACTCAGAAGTGAGAGGTTATTATGTGAGTATAGGAGAGCATAAGTCTAAGTGGACGTCCATGACATGCGGAGTCCCACAAGGCTCAGTTCTTGCTCCTGTTTAGCCTGTATATGCTCCCACTAAGTCAAATAATGGAAAATAACCAAATTGCCTGATGATACCCAGATTTACCTAGCCTTATCACCAAATGACTACAGCCACATTGACTCCCTCTGCCAATGCATTGATGAAATTAACAGTTGGACGTGCCAAAATGTTCTTCAGTTAAACAAGGAGAAAACTGAAGTCATTGCATTTGGAAACAAAGATGAAGTTCTCAAGGTGAATGCATGCCTTGACTCTAGGGGTCAAACAACAAAAAATCAAGTCAAGAATCTTGGTGTGATTCTGGAGACAGACCTTAGTTTCAGTAGTCATGTCAAAGCAGTAACTAAATCAGCATATTATCATCTTAAAAACATTGCAAGAATTGGATGTTTTGTTTCCAATCAAGACTTGGAGAAACTTGTTCATGCCTTTATTACCAGCAGGGTAGACAATTGTAATGGTCTCCTCACCAGCCTTCCCAAGAAGACCATTAGACAGCTGCAGCTCATCCAGAACGCTGCTGCCAGAATTCAGACTAGAACCATAAACTCTGAGCATATCACACCAGTCCTCAAGTCCTTACACTGGCTTCCAGTTACATTTAGGATTGATTTTAAAGTACTCTTACTTGTTTATAAATCACTCAATGGCCTAGGACCTAAATACATTGCAGATATGCTCACTGAATATAAACTTAACAGACCACTCAGATCATTAGGATCGAGTCCGCAAGTGGAATCAGCTTCCAGAAGAGATCAGATGTGCTAAAACATTAGTCACATTTAAATCTAGACTCAAAACGCATCTGTTTAGTTGTGCATTTATTGAATAAGCACTGTGTGATGTCCGAACTGATTGCACTGTATTTTATGTATGTATAATCAGTTCATTTCAAATCATTTTCCAAGTTTTTAAATTCCTTGTTTTATTTTTGTGATTATTTTACTTTCTTTTATGTAAAGCATTTTGAATTATCGTTGTGTATGAAATGTGCTATACTTGCCTTGCCTAGTAAATATTTACACTCGGTTCTGATTGGTCCTTCAGAGACCGGCTCCTCCTCAAGATGTGGAATATCCATTGGATGGACAGAAGATTCTTTACGTCAAGGGATCCATCAGGTAAAAGCCTTCAAACCAGACATGATGATCTGCTTTTTCCCAACTGGAATACCTCAAGGTCACATGTTTGAACTGAGATTCATGAGATGACACGTTCTCTCTCTTACAGATGGGGTTTTGTTTATTAATCTGACCCACATGCTCTGCTGTTTTCCAGAGACTCTGTGGCCGAGATGTTGTTCGAGCAGGATAATGAGGAGAAATCCATCGCCACGCTGCTGCTGGACACTTTGGTGAAGGTACAAAATATCAGATCTTCAGACCAGCTGTTTGTCAAATGAAGAGGAACTTGAGCCAACGGGATGAATGGGAGCAGAAGACTGAGCTTCACTTTAAAACAACACTTGATCAAGCATTCTGAGGTGTCATAACGGTCACAGTGGACTTACACAGGTTTTTTATCGAAGGATGAGGAAGCGTCATGCACTCGCCACTGTTAGGCATATTAAACCCTTCTGCTTTTCTTCTGTTATGACGTCAGGCGACAGTTTTATTCCTAAAAAGTTCCTTTCATTTGTTTTATTCGATGTGATTATACATTCTGAAAGTCTTTCTAGTGACAAGTACTTTTGAAAAATCTCATGTTACAAAAATTTAAGTTTTCATTTAGCCATAAAATGAAACCGAAAATTCAACAAAGAGTTGATTATAAACATCTAAATTGCACATAAGGCAGTTTTTATATCTGCTAATTAATCATGCGTTGTTGAAATATAAACAGTGGCTGTAAAAAAACTTGATTTGTGTAAATGTCTCGGGTTACTTGTGTAGTAACCCATGTTCTCTGAATAGGGAACGAGACGCTGTGTCGCTATGATGCATTGGGAATGCCCTGTAGGCGTGCCGATTGTCTGAAGCCCGTATAGAATCACACCAATTCATTGGCTGATGGCACGGACATCGCCCCATGCTCTTGCGTCGCCGTCTTTATACTGGCGAACGAGCCATCTGTTCCTCAGATTTCTCTGCCGAAAAAGACCTCTTGTCGGCAGTGCGAGGAGCTTGGCAGCAGACGCAGCATCTCGTTCCCTATTCAGAGAACATGGGTTATACAAGTAACCCGAGATGTTCTCTTTCATAGGTTCACTCAACGCTGCGTTGCTATGATGCATTGGAAACGATATACCAAACACGCTAAGCTAAAGTGCTGCCGTATCTAGCCCAATGAAGAACCAGATTGTATCCCTGGCTGGTTCAAGCGGATAAAACCCGGGAACCAGGAGCCGTGTCCAGATCCAAATGATAGAACCTGATAAAAGTGTGCAGAGAGGACCATCCTGCCACTACACAAATATCCTGTAGAGGGATTCCCCTAAAAAGAGCTTGAGAGGAAGCCTGCTGGAATGCGCCAGAAACGCTGAGAGGTGAAGAAAGACCACACACCTCGTATGCCAGCGAAATAGCGTCCCTAACCCAGTGCGAAATTCTATGCTTCGACGCGGCAAGCCCACGGCGGCCAGCACCAAAGCATACTAACAGCTGTGGAGATTTCCTCCATTGGCTAGAAAGATCCGCATAGAGCTTCAAAGCTCGGACAGGGCAGAGCATGTGAAGTCTCTCATCCTCCCCTGAAGCAAAAGGAGGAGGATGGATAGAGTGAAGGGTCACCACCTGAGATTGAAAAGATGCAGACAAAACCTTGGGAACATATCCTGGTCTGGGTTGTAAGGTTACTTTAACCAGACCCAGGGTGAAGTCCATACACACCTCGCTGACCGAGAGAACTTGCAAATCCCCAACTCGTTTCAACGAAGTTAGCGCCAACAAAAAAACAACCTTGAGAGTCAGAATCCGTTCTGGAGCTGACTCCAAGGGCTCAATAGGAGCTTCCATTAAGCCCTCCAGGACGACTGCTAAGTTCCAAGAAGGAACTCCAACGGGGCGTGCTGGTCTCAGACGCCAAACTCCACGCATAAACGCTGAGACCAACCGATGTCTCTCCAGGGGAATGTCAGCCAACTCTCCGTGCGGCGATGGCCGCAACATAAACTCTCAGGGTAGTAGCCGCCGCCCCTGCCACAAGTTTCTCTTGTAGGAACTCCAGTACTAAACCTACAGGGCAGCTGACTGGGTCCACTGCATGAGCTAAGCACCATGACACAAAAACCTTCCACAGCCTCTTCGTGGAAAGGGCTCTGGCACTAGCAATAGTCTCCTGAACATCGGCAGGAAGACTAGAAGTCAAAGCTGGTGGCCTTTGATGGGCCATACCCACAGCTTCCAGATCTCGAGTTTAGTGTGCCAGATTTGGCCTTGAAACTGAGACCGCAAATCTCTACTGATTGGAATCTCCCACGGAGAGTGATCCAGAAGAGAAATCAGCTCCGAGAACCACGTCTGGGAAGGCCAGAATGGGGCCACTAGCAGGAGACGGACCCCGCTCTCCCCACCTCTGCACAGTACTGCCGGAATCAGCTTGACAGGCAGAAACGCATACAGTGTCGGGTTCGGCCACAGGTGCGCGAACGCATCTATGCCCAGAGGTGCTGGGGAATTCAGGGAGAACCAAAGTGGACGTTGGGATGACTCCTGCGTTGCAATGAGGTCCACCTCCGCCCTGCCGAACAGGTCCCAAATCTGAGCTACCGTTTGACGGTTCAGCATCCATTCCCCCGATTTGAGCTTCTGACTCGACAGAAAATCGGCTGCGAGGTTCAAGACTCCTGGGACGTGAACCGCTCGCAGGGAGAGAAATCTGCCTTGAGCCCAAAGGAGAAGATGACGTGCATGCCTGTCCAGGGTGCGAGTCCGTGAACCCCCTTGCTGGTTTATATGAGATACTACCGCCATGTTGTCCGTCCTGACAATCACATGACACCCTTTCAGAGAGTGGAGAAAGGGAATCAGTGCCAGAAAGACGGCTTTCAGTTCCAGGCTGTTTATGTGCCAGGAGAGAAACTCTTCTGGCCAAACTCCGCACGCTGGCCTGCCCTCGAAGACCGCGCCCCAGCCTGTCAGAGAGGCGTCTGTTGTAGCGCCCATACTGTCCCCTCTCTGAAGAAAGAGGGGGTCCTGCCAAATTGAAAGTGCACGAAAGCAACTGTGCGACACTCTTACCAGACGAGAGGCTGGTCCTGTCGAGCGGATCCCTATGAGTTTCATCCACCAAAGGAACAGTCTCATGTGAAGCAGCCCCAGGGGCAGCACAAGGGAGGCTGCGGCCATGAGGCCCAAGAGCCTGTGACAAGTGCTTACAGAAAAACATGATGGCCTAGCTTGAAGCGGGCCATGCATGCGTTTAGGCTGGAAATCTGGGCAGGAGCCAAACGGGCCTGCATCTGAATGGAATCCAAGTGAACCCCCAAGAAAACCGTCTGTTGAGAGGGAGTAAGAACACTCTTCTTGGCATTCATTCTGAGGCCAAGAGACCGCATGTGGTGAAGGAGGACATCCCTGTGGTGACTCACTAATTCCCTGGAGTGGGCCAAAATGAGCCAATTGTCCAGGTAATTGAGTATACGGATGCCCTGGAGCCTCAATGGGGCCAGAGCAGCATCCATGCACTTTGTGAATGCATGCACTTGGTGCCAAGGCTAGGCCAAAGGGAAGAACCTTGTATTGGTAAGCCTTTCCCCCAAAGGCGAACCTGAGGAACTTATAATACCTGTGTTAGGGTTCTGCCGACATGGTCCGGAGGGGGAGACATCGTCAACCACGAAGGAGGGCCCTTGGCGTCCTGATGCAGGAAGGAGTCTACAGGAACCAATGCAGGTGGTACAAGGTCTGCTGGCACTGGGAGAGAACCGCACGTGTCTCCTATAACGTGAGCAGCAGGTGACGAAGGAACAGCTGGTAGGGGGAGAAAGCCTGGTGCGTCTCCCTTCCCCCATGTCGAAAGAGAGAGAGCTCGAACGGTTGCCGCACACCGAAATGCGCTGAGTGGCAGATGTGACAGAACTGAATGAGGAGAGCATTTTAGAAGCGGGCAGAAACATTTGCATGGTGTGGCCCAGCTTAGTAAGGCGGTGGAAGCTGCCCTCTTCCTGACACGAGAGTCAGGAGCAACTTGATGGAGTTGAAGCAGCGGGTCTGTCAGAGCTGAAGCAGCGGGTCTGTCAGACCGCTTCAGCTCAAGCCGCCTGAAAGGTCGCCGGTGGGGCAATGGGCGGCCTCGGGCTGCCCAGACCGTGGGTGGTGGGGGACGACCGAATCTCTGTGAGAATAAGTCACAGGTGGCACTCTGCAGCCACTGAACCCACCATAGAGTGCCCTATAGCACGCGCGGTGTGCTTGGTGGCTCTCAGGGCCAAGTCTGTTGCTCTGCGGAGCTCCTTGACCACCTCTGGGGTCAGACCGCCCCCCTCGTCCATCTCCTTAAGGACATCCGCTTGGTCGGCTTAGAGAATGGCCATAGTATAAAGGGCCATGCCTGCCTGACCAGCTGCCATGTAGGACTTTCCGATAAGGGCGGAAGTGGTCCTACATGGTTTAGTCGGAAGGAGAGGGCGAAGCTGAAGATGGAGAGAGGTGCGTAGCTAGCTTATCCTCGTTCACCGGGATGACGGTATAGCCCTGCTCCACAGAACCCACTAGGTTGGTGAAGTCAGCGGCTGCCGCGTTAGTAAGGCAGGCGGAGAATGGCTGCTTCCAGGATCTGGAGATGTCCTGATGCAGATCGCTGAGAAAGGGCAGCTTTCTCCGTGCCGGCCTCGAATTTGGGCCGCTCAGGAACTGCTACGAGCTCCGGGTGGGAAAGCGTCGGCTGAAGCAGTCCCAAAATCCTCAGAGTCGGATGCCGCGATGTACAAAACGTCCTCTAGCCCAAAATAAATCGCATTGTGCGCCTCTGGGCTAGGGCATAAATTATCATGCGCGAATTCAACCGGCGAATCTGCGCGCACGTGCTCGAGTGAGAGAGGGAGAGAAAGGGCGAGGCCCGGTCCCAGGTCGCGGATTCACAGAGGGCTGCGGCCTCCGGAGTGCGACGGGGAAAGACGGATGACTCCTTGTCAAAAACCGCAAGCCTAGTGTTTTGACAAGCAAGCCTAGGTTTTCGCAAAATTTGCATTGAGAAATGCCGTGATAAGCCATGAACCGCCTCACGCGCGTGTGAAAAATCCAAACATTTGACACACTTACTGTGAGGGTCGTCGCTCGCAATGAAGCGAGAACACGGCGGCTGGCAATGACGATACTTCATGGCACTTCACCGCAAGGAGAATGGAGTTCCACTCTAGCAGTTGCTGAAGTGCAAATTAAGAAATCTGATGAAAAACCATCCGAAATCGGGCCAGAAAAATTGCATCAGAAGGGCTAAAATGGCCGCTTCGTGAAGGCAGAGAAATCTGAGGAGCAGATGGCGCGTTCGTCAGTTATAAGGACAGCAACGCAAGAACGGCGCCCGTGCCATCAGCCAATGAATTGGCGTGATTCTATATGGGCTTCAGACAATCGGCACGCCTAGAGGGAGTTCCCAATGCGTCATAGCGACACAGCGTTGAGTGAACCTATGAAAGAGAACATACATTAAATAATGAAGACAAAAAGTTCAGTAACAAATGTAATTTAGTGCATATATTTATAATAATGTTCCTCCTAGAGTTATTTTTTCTAGCTGACTAATGTAATTTAGTGCATATATTTATAATAATGTTCCTCCTAGAGTTATTTTTTCTAGCTGATTATCAGGTTTATGGTCATTAAATGTCTTTCCTGAGGTAAATGTGACATTATTAATCTCAAGCTGTTTTATTGACGGTTGAAACACGTGATTCACATTTAATCTTTTAGCAGACCCTTTTATCCACAGCCACTTACAAAACGGTTTCAGCTAAATATTTTTGGTTGCCAAAACTTTGACGCATCACTTATTTTGTTTGGTTTGTTTATATAACCAAAGCTGAATTTATTTATGATTTATTTTTAATTTATATAATTGCAAAGCAACACCTTAGTAACAGTCAACACCCACAATCTACCAACATGTTGACATCTTTGCCATCCTCCCAGCATTCACCTTGTTCGTTCTGTGTTTGTTCCTCACCAGTGTCCCATCGACACTCGCAAGGTTCTGTCAGAGAACTTGGTGATAATCGGCGGTACGGCCATGCTGCCCGGGTTCCTGCACCGACTCCTGACTGAGATCCGCTCGCTGGTGGAGAAACCCAAGTACCACGATGCTCTGGCTACCAAGAGTTTCCGTTTCCACAGCCCACCCGCCAAACCCAACTGCACCGCCTGGTTAGGAGGTGAGCAAAGAAAGGCACAGCAGAGGCTTTGAGATTCCTGACATCTGCATTGGACGAGAAAAGATCTAAACACGTTTTGTTAAAGCAATTGTGAAAACGAAGATTTAGGGTTAACACACCAGGATTTCACCATTTTCTGCCATTGAACCTTGAACCTTTCACTCAAGGTTGTTTTTTTTCTTCTTCCCATGTAGGTGCTATATTTGGAGCATTGCAGGACATTTTAGGGAGTCGCTCAGTGTCCAGAGACTACTACAGCCAGACGGGCCGCATCCCAGACTGGTGTTGTCTCAGCATCCCACTACCGGATTCAGTCTATGAGGCGGGAAAGACGCCACCGCCTCTCATGAAGAGGGCCTTCTCCACCGAGAAATGAACTGGACACTTCAAATCTAGCTTCCTCTAAATCTGCTTATTCAGATATGCTCTTATATGTTTACAGCAGAAAGTGCTGATCTATAATAGCCTCAAGTCTTTCATATTAGTCTGCTGTACTTAATTTGAATAGTAGGTGAAACCAAAGCCACTAGGGGTCAGTCCCCATCAGCTCACCTGCAGACCTCTGCTTCACTCGTCAAAGAGATGGGAAAATCTTTATAAATGCACTAAACGGTTTCCAGAGAACCTCCAGACTTTTATCCAGTCTACATTATGGAAGCCCATTTCCGCCACTGAATAAAAAATAAAAAAAGGTTGTTGCTACTTTTTATCTCACAATTCTGACATAAACTTGCAATTGCGAGTCAAGTCATAATTCTGAGATATAAACAAAAAATTGTGACTGTTTCTCACAATTGCGAGTTTATATCTCAAAATTTAGCTTTTTTTTCTCGCGCAATTGTGAGTTAAGTCAGAATTGTGAGATAAAAACTTGGAATTCAGACTTTTTTTCGCGCAATTGAGAGTTTATATCTCCAAATTGTGATTTTTTTTTTTGCAAGTTTATTTCAAACAATTCTGACTTAACACGCAATTGCGAGTTATAAAGTCAGAATTGCGAGATATAAACTCAACATTCTGACTTTTTTCTCAGAATTGCGAGTTTAAATCTTTAAATTCTGACTTTATAACACGCAATTACGAGTTAAGTCTGAATTGTTTGAAATAAACTTTGTGTAACTGCATTGTGAGATAAAAAGTCGCAATTACCTTTATTTTTTTATTCAGTGGCGGAAACGGCCTTCCATACTAAACCATGTCAGTACATATGTAGTTTAGGTTACTTTTTTTTTATATTTAAATGTATGCTTGATCTTGCACCATCAAAGACAGATCATGGAAAGCATCTTGACCATAGAGCTAAGAAACGACATAATATTTTCCATACTAAACCATGTCAGTACATATGTAGTTTAGGTTACTTTTTTTTATATTTAAATGTATGCTTGATCTTGCACCATCAAAGACAGATCATGGAAAGCATCTTGACCATAGAGCTAAGAAACGACATAATATTTCAATTGTATTTAATAATGAGTTTGAAGTGCTGAATATGTTCAAAAGTTTGGTGTATTTGAGTTTTGTGAAAAAATAAACATTCCAAAATTGGTGTTTGCAGCGGGGGTCTTGTCCATTAAGTGTCAACTGATTTAATAATGTTAACTCGGATTGCTTTTTTTTTTTTTTTCTTTAGCAGTCATGTTTTACTAGAGAAAGTCTGAGGTCAAGTCAAGTCAAGTCACCTTTATTTATATAGCGC